ATATATTTAAATTTTAATATAAGAATGTATATATTACAGCTTGTTAAATTGATTGTTAAATTCTTTTTTGTATCTTTAATATATCTTTCATTAAAAATTTATTATCAGACAGATTTATGCAATGAATTTAATTAAAATAGTTAAAATTACTAATACAAAAGTGTCATTGAATATCTTTTTCAAGTGTAGTAACACTGCATGATCAATCGTATCCGTAATCATCGTCAGTGCTCTAGGTATAATTTATACAAATATAACATCTTTTGTTTAAATTAATTCATTAAAATTTTTATCGTGATCATACTTATGTTTAACAATTTTCTTCAATTTCTATATAAAAGTATTTTATTTCGTGAATTTCTATTATATTTACAATTCTAATCTATCTGGCAGTGAAATATATAATTAGGACAAATCTAACACTGGATCGTTAACATGATTCTGTTGATAAACGTTCATGCTTTCCTAATGCTAACTGTGAATGTAACATTTTCGTTAATTAAGATATGTCATGCTAGGAATGTATCTATGTGCTTTAGAATTTAATTTTCGCATGAGCTTTCCCAAATTTATGTTTGATAATGGTACTTTGAGCGCATTGAATTTTAAATTATTCTGATACATTATTACCTCATAAGCTTTCAAAATGAATGAAATTAGAGGCAAGATTAATGGTTAATATCATGAATCATAGAGAAATGAAGTATAATGTAGATTACTACATAATAATAAGATTTTACATAGATATTTTGATATTATATATAGTATTTATAATTATATATTTATTGAAATATAAAGTGATATAGAATGTTAATATATTCATGAGATACTTTTGAAAAGTCGATTCTTCTAAAAAATAAATATAAAAGTTCATATACAAAAATATTTGTTAAAACTTATTTATTAAGTTTACATTTAAATTTGCATTTATTAAATAGAGGAAGATAGAGAGATCGTTCCATCTTTGTCATACTGCAGTTTTATCCTATTTCTGTTTTACTTATTTTAATGTAAATTTAAAAAATAAGTTTCAATCAAATTTTTTGTATATTAATCTTTGTATTTGTTTTGATTTCTAAAATTAAACCTTAAAAAGTGTTTCATGAATATGAACATTATAATATATAATATATATTATTTATATACAATTATATATATAGTAATTCTTATACAGTATTTACAATTTATAATTTTGCAATTCTATATAAACAAAGTCTCTTTTTAAATTTATAAACAAACATATCACAACATATTGCGTACGGCTATGAAGTATCTCGCTTTGGTTTTTGGTTTTTTTTTTTTTTTTATTAAATGCTAATTGCTTGCTAAATTTCAGATAACTTAATCTAAATATAATGCGGCTTATATAATTATTTGCAACAAAAATTTTTGCAAAAGAATTGTAAAATGTATTTGCTAAATGCCTGTTGAAATTTATAAGATAGTTTCAGTTGAATAGGATGCAGCTTCAGTATGTCGTAAGAAAAATATTTCAAAACAAATGCATGTTAAAATGTAAATCGGGAAGCAAAAAGAATTGTTCATTAGTAAAAAGTAGATTGCAAAAGATCAGCTTTATCATATTATTTATAATTCACATCATATTATCGTTTAAATTTCATTATTCCTCTATTTCTGAACAAATAATATTTAATGAAACCGATTTTATGAAATCATTATATCATAAATCATATTAACAAAAATTTTTTAGTACAAATTCTATATTAAATATATCAATAATAAATTATTATTATATTATATTGTATTGAACATTTGTAAACACATTCATAAATACTTATTAAAATGAAACAAAAAAATGGAAACAATTATAGGTCATCATTAATTTTTATTAATATTTTATTCTGAAACTTAAAATAGTATATTTTGATATCATACTAACATTGCATAATATGTATAAAAATTTTTGTTGTGATGTCTTAATTAAATGTTATAATAATATATGCAGATACTGAGACAAAATTATATATAAATAATATTTATACAAGTTTGTATAGATATTTGGTAATTTATTAAAAAAAATTTCAGAAAGAATAATATATTTTTCATATTAAAATTATGTAATGTATTCTTTTAACTTTTCTTCAATTACAATGGCTACAATATTTGAAAGTTATATATTTTTAAATTACTGAATATCTATACAATAAAATTTTAATTTTTATCTTTATCTGCAAGAATAATAATCATTTTACAAAACCAAACAATTAAAAAATGCTGTACGCAATGTGTTAGTATTCCATTACAGATTTAAAAACTATAATTCCTTTCATGCATGATATCTGATATTATGATAAATAAGAAAATATAAAAAAAAATAATAATAAAAATAAAAAAGAACCAAAAATAATAGTGAAAAAAAAAAAAGAAAAATATTTAATCGTGCACGATCTGCATAAAGTCTTGAAAAAAGCTGTCCTCCTTCTCTCGTTTCCATTTCTAGAATTTCCAATTTAACCATCCTTGCGATCCAAGGAAACTTCTTCATATTGCTCCTAATTCGACTCACGATCAATGCTGTCATGAGTTCGTTAAACAGTGCTTGCTTCATCTGTAAAAGAACTAAAAAAGAAAAAAAACAGAGAGAAAAAATACATACAAAAATGGACATTCGATGTGTCATTTGTCCATGTAATTAACCATTTTACGACTAACCATCATTTTCTTCGATCTCCTTTTAGCCAACTTCATCGACCTTAAGCGGGTTACGACGCTGTCGAGCATTGTACGATTGCGAAGCAGATAACGAGGATGAGCTGTCGTTCCGGGAAGGAGAGGTGATCATCGTAACAAATGAACAAACCGACGACGACAACTGGATGGAAGGCGCTCTTGAACGAGCACCTGAAAGAAGAGGAATGTTCCCGATTAGTTTCGTGCACATGTTGCAAGATTAACATTCGGTAAGCCTGAACTCATTGGCAAGTGTCTCCAGTACTGCCAGCTCCGTGAGCATCGCTAGTCTCGGCAGGAAATCTTGGACGAGGAAACCGAAGGATTGAATACAAAGGATCAAGCATTCAGTTCTATAATTTTTAAAAAATCGTGGGTTCCTTCTCTTGGTACTTCTTTTCTCTCTATCAATATTAATTTTAGGTCTTAAATTTTACGTGAAGTCTTTATTGTTTGAGGAGAAGATAATGTATAATGAATTTCTATGATTTGTTGCACGTGATTAACGGAAAAAGTTGAATGTCTTAAACATGTTTCTATGCAAGCGTAATACAGATGTCCGTATGTGCAATTTGTTGTAAACAAATAGTTACGTTTCAATCAAATCTGGAAACATGCTTAAGAGAGTAAATCTTCTTCATCATGCTTTTGTTGATACAAATTCTTTATATTATTTAGTTTCATTATTTTGTTACAATAGATTTACTTATTTATTATTTTTAATTCTGTTTTAGAAATTTGAAATAGTTCTTCAATTTATAACTTCAAACAATTCCAGAGAAGCATATTGATTTTCTAAAAGAGATTTTAATAATTATTATATGAGAAAATACTCTAATCTAAAAAATATTTATTTAAGTTTGTGAGAAGGAAATCAAACATTGAAGAATTCATTAAAAAAAAGTAATATCTGACTAAAAAATCAATATGAATGTTGAAAAAGTTAAAGTTTGTCTTTGAGAATCGTTAGAAACATCATGGAGAAGAAGAGAAGTAGTTACTATAGCCTGAGCAAAATAAATTGGCTATATAAAGTTACAAATAGACAAACTCTCATTATGCTATAAATTGCATGCAATTTAAAAAACATAACTTACAAATATTCTAATGATCATAATTTTTAAATATCCCATATTTAAAACATGTAGTAAAACTACAAAAAAAAAAATAATTTGAAGGAATTATTTTATAAAATAAAACGAAATGAAGTAAAAATTTAAAACATATAAAAACTTTATACAAAGGAAGTTATTGTGATGCAAATTTATATTATTAAGTATAGTTAAAAGTATATAATAATTTTTTTTATTCTTAATAATCTTAAAAAAAAGAGCTTAAGAAACCAATTAATATTGTTCAGACTATAGCTTTGATACTTCATCTGCTGTACCTAGACGTGCCTATTCGAGTCGGATACTCAAACGTAAAGAAAAATCTTATACAAGTCTACAATTTAAAAATTTCAATAAAAATACATTCAATGGCAGAAGAACAGGAATAAGTTGAACACCAATTGTTTCGAACAGGATGAAGAAATCGAAGACTGGATCGTTCTGAAGGCCGACGATAAACAAACAGAAAATGTGATATAAAATATATTTCAGTATAAATTATTAGTATTATGAATCGGATTCAACAAAAAAAAAAAAATTGAAAAACCATACGCTAATAAAATAAAACCATCATACATGTTTATGATAATCGAACAGAGCGTTGCAATCGAAGCAAATCTATCATAAATTACGATATTCGTTCGTATTAAATTACAACTAACAGAGGATACTGGTTTATCTTGTTAGCTGTTGATTATCAATTCTACTACGTAGAGCAACACGTATTCGATCGAAATACTAATCATATTTGGTAAATGTGCACAATTTCGTGTATACAGAGATAAAGAATTTAAAAAAAAAAAAAAAAAAAATAAAGTGTATGTATGCGTGTATGAATGTGTGCATGTTTGTATGCATATAATTATAAGAAAACAAGAGAAAGAATACAGAACACAAATTCTGTAATTTGTTGCATGTCTTTAAGTATCTGGCGCACACTTCTTTCTGTACTGCCAATGCTGAATATATTCTATATGCAATTGCGTTCCAGGCGAATAAAACAAAAAGAAATTAATAGAAGAACATTTTCGTGATGGGTGTGGTAGATACAGCCAATGGCGTCGATCGCTAAAAAAAATATAACATAAATATAGAATATTAAAAAGGGGTGTCTTTATCTCCTGAAAAAAAGAACGATATGACATATTGCATGACCGATAGTATTATTAGCGTATTCGACTCTTAAAGATCACGTGGTTACGAGCGTATGTACATTTTTGTAATGCCATATTATATTTGTTAGTAAATATATATATAAAATTATATATATATATATATATATTGTGAATAGAATTATGAAGTTAGAGATTTATTAGTCATTAAGTATATATAGTATATATATATATATATAAAATGAGAAGGAAAGAAAGAATATAAAAGAAGAAAAGAATAATAGAACATACGTGTGCGATTCAACCGAGATTTATGCGCCGGAAGCGAATTGAAATTTTTGTTTTTTTAATATTGTTATTTGAAACACACAACATATATGAAACCAAAGAAAACATTTTTGCGAGTGAGAGAACTGTAAACGCCTGCTAGCTCAATGTATATTAAAGGGAACTGTAATTTTTTTCTTAAGTGATTGTAAATTTTTACTGTTCGCTTTATTTTTTATATTGAGCCATACTTATTCTCTCTCTCTCTC